AATGTTAATGTGACTAATAACGAAGTAGCCATTCAAATGGTGTAATTTTGAATTTCTATCATATGTAATTTATACACACACACACACATATATATGGGTGTATATATTTATAGAAAGAATTATTTAGCAATGTTAATATGACAAATGGCGAAATCCTTTCCCTAACAAGGCTTAATGGCACATTAAATTACTATCAATTACTATCACCATAGCTATCAATAAATAGCATTTTTTTAAAATCCCTTGGTCTACATTACACATGTCTTAGAGTTTTGCCTGTATTTGCGAAAATTGCGCTCCAAAGATGACAATTTGAAATTGTTGAATGTAGTTGGCTCGTCATGTGTGTGTGTGTGTGTAGTGGAAAAGTATATAACAAAGTGGAAAAAGTTTTTTGTACGCGTTTCGTCCTTTACGTCTTCATCGGACTAAATTTGTTACGTTGGTGTAACTACGCATGCGCACGACCAAGGGATGCTGATAATTTTATTTTATCTTATTGTTTTTAATACACACGGTATCATTTAGATTTTTATTTTCATTCCATCATTTTTGCTAGTACATATCGCACACTGTGATAATAGAAGTGGGTGTGCTGTTGGTGGCAAACAATGCATTTATTATGTTGAAAATATGCCTTTTGTGCTAGATTCTATTACAGGTGATCGAGTAAATTCCTCCTATAGGTTTTAGCTTATTGTTTTCTTTTGCATTGACTAAGTCTTATATTCTTTTAGATGTAGTAGTGTATTTGTAAAGAACGAAACGCGTCACAAGAAAACTTTTTCCACTTTGTCATATATTCTCCCCCGTTATTGTTTTTCCTATATAAAATGTATATCGTTATGTAATATATATATATATGTGTAATATATATATTTATGTGTATATATATATATATATTTTATAAATATATATATATAAATTTATATATATATATATATATATATATATATATATATATTAATTATGTATTTAAGCAGCAATCCTTGATGTATACATGTTTTCATTAAAGACGACAGACAAGATACTACGATTAAACTTTTTATATATTTTTAATTTTAAAATTTAAATATTACCTCTTTAATGAAACATAATGATACCCTGATGATGACATTATGCCATGTCGAAAATACTCGGAAATAAATACGAGCCGATACGCTGTTTTCCTCTATTCTTTTAATAACCGCACGAAAAGCTTATCCGCGAATATCAAAGGATCCTATCAAGAATAGATAGACAGAACATGTCTAAATTATTTAACGAAAACTGTCATAAAGAAAATATGCTACCGAAATATACGCATTTCATATATATATATATATATATATATATATATATATATATGTGTGTGTGTGTGTGTGTGTGTGTGTGTGTGTGTGTGTGTGTGTGTGTGTGTGTGTGTGCCTGTCTGTCTGTCTGTGTATGTGTGTGTCAAGATTTCAGATAGAGTATAAAAGGAAAAAAGGAATAAAGATAAAAGGAAATATTAACTTAACCAGCGCATTTCCTCCTTCCGGACACTTTATCATGGCAAATGGTGTGGATTTTATTTTCTCACAAATATTTATATACAAGAGTAAATATATTATTGGTTTTTCAAAATTTTTACGCATAGAAACGATCATAAATATTCATCAGGCCAACTGAAATGTCATGGAGGACATGAAGAGATAGAATTCAATGTCTAATACAGTCAGTAAATGAATATTTATGCACCTTCTTATTCCTAAAGATTTCGAAAAACCAATAACATTTTTTCTCTTGTATATAAATACTTGTTACAAAATAAAATAATCGCATTTGCCTTGATAAATTCCCTCAGAGCACAAAACACGTCGTTAATTATGCATATATATATATATATATATATATATATATATATATATATATATATATATATATATATATATATATATATATATATATATATATATATATATATATATATATATATATATAATATATATGCATATATATATATATATATATATATATATATATATATATATATATATATATATATATATATATATATATATATATATATATATATATATATATATATATATATATAAAATATTAAAAAAGAAGAGGAGAGGTGCCGCAATCGTTTTTGGTTTGTAATGTGGATTTCTTTTAAAAAAAATATTATGCTTTATTATCCATAATTTTACTACACGTGTTTCTGCTCTCGTTACCGTTTTCAGGTAAAAGCGGAGATTTCCACATATTATTAAAAATAATTAATTTTTTTCCTTATAATTTTCAATGTTAAATATTCTCGATATGAGACATTCTCTATTTTTGTGTTAGTAATCCGAATTTCTTTCTTGAATTGGCAATGAAGAGTTCTGCGCGAAGGGTCATAAAACAATTAAGGTTGGCCCAAGAGAAATTATGAATTACTTATCGGCATTTTATCTTTTAATGTTTTACTGACCCCTATATGTTCTTAGATCTGTTTCCATTTCGTGTGTTTCTGTCAGCATGCGTGTATATATGCGTGCGTATATTCCGCCTCCATAGATATACTCTCTTACTACAAGGAATTAGTAAACTCATTTATACACATACGCACATACACACCGTCCCACTACTTTTTAAATAAATCCACATTACAACCAAAAACGTTTGCGGCACCTCTCTTCTCTTCTTTTTAATATACATACTTTTCTCTCGTTGGAACCACTACAACCTCTTTCGTAACGTAATGAAGAGTTTGGTAAACCGTGTGTATAATTCCAAAGAGGTTGCAAGCCAAAGAGCTCAATGTAACAACAGAGCAAATATTAATTAAATTAAGGAAGTGACAAACTTAAAGTTACGTGATTATAATTTATTTCCTAATATCAATCTAAACTTTTCCTCAAAAACTTGTGTAAAAATAAAAGAACCAAATTCCTTTAGTAACTAGAGATACTATATATATATATATATATATATATATATATAATATGGATATACAGATATACTACACACACACACACACACACACACACACACACACACACACACATATATATATATATATATATATATATATATATATATATATAATAACCCGGATATAAGAGAGTTGTCAGGACCGTAGAAGAAGTCTCTTATATCCGGGTTTCTCTTAAATCCCAGGTTTGGCCTATTTTATATACATTAACACAGGCTCTAATTTGGGACCAGGGAAAATCTCTCTTATATCCGGGTTTCTCTTATATACGGGTCTCTTATATCCGGGTTACACTGTACTATATATTATAAATAAGGATATATTTCCTGGTAAAATAAATTATACTCATGGAATTTTAAAGTTGATATATATATATATATATATATATGTATGAGTGTGTGTAAATATATATATATATATATATATATATATATGAATAATAACAAAAGGGACGCTTATCTTAGCATATATGTTTGTGCGTGTGTGTGAGTGAGTGAGTGTGTGCGTTAAAAACTGCCTAATTTTTATAAATGTTTCTTTTAGGAATGTTGTGTCTGTATTTTCTGAGTTTTACGTGAAAACTCCATCATGTTACAGAATAGGTTATCGTATATTCTTGTGTATGCAAACGACACTTATATTTGTTATAACAATATCAAGTTATGGCTGAAGCAAAAATATACACACAAACTGAGCGTCATTCATTGTATCATTGAACAATAATTTTTAAAGCTGGAATAGTTGTAATTACATGTATTACAGAGGGAGTGATGTTATATAAGGATATGCGTAAAAAAATTGCTAGAGGTCCCTCTACACCTGGTTCCAGATATCATCAAGTATACGTGTATAAGTTTGTATAATCTTTAAGACATACAACATAAATCTTTGTCACAAGCAAACACACAGAAGCACACACATACTTTTTAAAAGAAGAATACATATTCTTTGTAATGTTACACAAGCACAAATATACACATTAGAAAAATAATGCCGAACTATAGAGACTCATATATATATATATATATATGTATATATATGAAAATATATAGAAAATAGGAAAGAACTGGTTAGGTAAATAATCAAAAGTTCATTAGTATTTTAGTTATTATTTTTTAAAAATAGTGCTCGATACAAAAGTAGAGCATAAATATAATTA